ACTGACCTACAAAAAACATTTGCATCTTTAAAAGTCTTTAATATGATGGTGAATTTGAAAAAAGACAAATCCCTGAATAATAACTTTATGAAAACTTGATCAAACTCAGTCTTTGACAGTAATCTGAAACAAAAAGAAAACATATTTTCATTTTTTCACCACTTTTGTTGCATGAAAAAAAAGGATAGAATGTATTTTCTCTCCATTTTCGTCCCATTTTTTCTAAAATAATTTTTTTTTTTTAAAGTGTAAATGTGGAAAGTTTTTTTTTTTTTTTTAGATAACTGACCAATTGGGGCCCAAAAATCACATTCACTATTTCAAAGATCTGTAATGTTTCACAGGTTATTTTGGCCCATTTTTGATAAATTGGTTATAATTTATATGGCTTGTTTTGCCAGCATCACTTCTTAAGGGTTAAACATCAAATTTCATCAAATGCTTCATCAAATTTCTGTCTCTCAACATGCATAGTTTGTAAAATTGTCATTTGCAATTGTTTTATTTTCTTGTTTCCATCTTGTTTCCATTTTCCTCTCCATCTGGAACCAGATATTTGGCATTTTCTGAATCCTAACTACTTGTTGTGTGTGTCGTAATATACTAACTTGTTTTTGCCGTGTATATGAGGTACCGTGCTGATTACGAGCACCATTATAAAACTTTAACAACCACAACAAAACCGTGAGACAAATAAAAAGGGGTTCAACGTTTTGCCTGAGCAAACTATTATCCTCAATTAAGGTTCATTTTCAGAAGAAAAAGCCACCATAAATAACTTGCCAGTGAACCTTGCAGAATTTCTTGACCAGTCAAGATGGAGAGGAAGAACAATTGCAATTGACAATTTTACAAACTATGCATGTAGAGACAGAAATTTGATGAAATTTGATGTTTAACCCTTAAAAATTGATGCTGGCAAAACAAGCCATATCAATTCAAACCAATTAATTCAAAATGGGCCAAAGTATCCTGTGAAATATTACAGATCTTTGAAATAGTGAATGTGATTTTTGGGCCCCAATTGGTCAGTTATCTAAAAAAAAAACTTTAAACATTCACACTTGTTAAAAAAACTTTTATTTTAGAAAAAAATAGGCCAAAAATGGAGAGAAAAGACATTCTATCCTTTTTTTTTCATGCAACAAAAGTGTTGAAAAAAGAGGAAAATATGTTTTCTTTTTGTTTCAGATTACTACGGTGGCTGAGAAGTGCAAAACACATTTACAAAAAAAAAAACGTTGAAAAATTAAAAAAAAAATAACATTGTAAGATACACATTCACAATTAAAGAAACACATCCATCCATTATGTGAACTGCTTATTCCCAAATCGTTGACATGAACAAATGAAAAAACAATATAGCATTTTAAGAAACAAATTCATTTTTTAGGAGACAAACATTTTTGAAAAAAATTGTTTCTTAAAATGTTATGTTTTTATGTTTCTTTAAATGTGTATCTTAAAATTTTATTCAGCTTTTTTAAATCATAAGGTGTTTTTTAAATTGTAAATGTGTTTTGCACTTCTCAGCCACCGTAGATTACTGTCAAATTGGACAAAAATAATAATTAAAGACAAACTTCTGCTCCGTTGCTCATCTGGACTGACTGATCCAGCATTTGGACTCAAAATCTTACGATATCGAACCGATTTCTCTCGACGATTGTGGGTCATTGATATTTTTTCTTTTGTCTTTCTCTCTCTCTCCATTTGTCTGGATATAGTGCCGGGGAACCTGGGATGCTTCAAAGACAGCGGTGACCCCCCCACACTGTCCGGTACCAGCGAGACCTCCAACAAGCTCACAATTCAGAACTGCATCAGCTTCTGCCGAAAGCAGAGATACAAGGTGAGACTTTAAAGCTAAAGAGAGGCATTTACTCTTTCTTATTCGATTCTATTCATCTAAAAAACCTAAAGTGTCAATTTATTGGATAGAAACAATTAACCCTGTAATGCCAAACGTATCATATTTGATACATACGGTTTCTGAAATGTTTTGCATCTGACACCTTTTGCATAATTTAATGGTAAAAACTTGTTTGTTTTATTCTGGGATCAGACTTTAAAGGGTTAAAACCAATAGAAATATTATTCAAAAAATCTTTAAAAATCGTTGATCAAAAGCCCCCGTCTTTCCATCTGTGTAATATTTTGGGAAAATATAATATGCTCCATTTTGAAAAATGTATTCATTATAACCCTGTAATGCCAAATGTATCATATTTGATACAAACGGTTTCTGAAATGTTTTGCGTCAGACAACTTTTGCATAATTTAATGGTAAAAACTTTGCTCAAAATCCTATTGAACACAATCAGATGTACCTGATAACAGGGGGCAGAAGACTACACAAAAAATAATCTTGACTTATCACATAGTAATAAATTATTAATATCAAAAATGTATTTCAGTTTTTTCTTTTTACATATTTTGTTAAAAGGCCAAATAAGGAATTCAAACAAAAAAAAAAGTAATTTTCTGTTTTGTTTTATTCTTGGATCAGGCTTTAAAGGGTTAAAAAAAACATCAAATTCATTGCTCACGTCGTGTCTAGAATAGACGCAGGCTGTCAGTTTGAGCTTTTATGTAAATGATAAACGTTCAGGGGCAGTTTCACGACAATCGTGGCTTTATTCAGCCATCAAACTTTCCACTTGGCACCAAGCAGCTCATGACAAATCATCACAGTAATCAAGGCTGACAGCTGGAAATCAATGGCTATTAGCCACCGGGCACCCCCCCCTTCCTCCTCCTCC